AGAGGGGGGTGAAATGTCTTTAGCTTTAGCAGTCTCTGGTTCCTGGGTGAACCCAACCTTTCTTCTCTGGTCTCAAAAGCGCCTTGGCTCTAGCACAGGGAGATCAATGAGAGAAATCAAGCAAAGGTCCCACCATTTTTTTTCCCTTTCTCTTTCATAGCCATGGTGAGTGCCAGGATTTTAATAGAAGATCCCAAAGCATAAGTGGGGCACTTGGGCATTCTTATTTGCATGTTAATGCCAAACCTATAGGACAAACACCCACCCAGTTACTGTGAAGGTTGTTGCCAAGACCTCAGCTTCGCCGGGCCTCATGCGGCAGCTTTGCGAAAGGAGAAGACCCCAATGCTCCCGCATTTCATGGAGCACATGGAGCAACAGCTTCTCCAAGTGGCCGGCTGGTTCCGCTGCACTTCCTCTCTATAAAGTGGATAGGGACAACTTTTTGAGTAGTTTTGATCACTTAAGAATGACATTTATCCCTGATTGTTTACCTTCTGGACTCCTCTGGCTTATGACAGGAGCTCACACAGCTGGTTTGGGCTCTGGTTTTCCTTCAGACTGTGGGGAACAGTCTTCAGACTGGCTGTGTTCCCACAGTACTCCACAGGGGACATGCTAGGTAGGCTTTGCTCCATTTGTGAGTGATTCTTCTGAGGGGAAGAGGGAGGAGCCGCTGCTTCCCAGGGTTTAAGCTCAGGCAGAAGCTGAAGGGCTCCTGTGGGAATTTTTTTTTTTTTTTAATTGAGCATCAGGCACCTCCTAGTGTTCACCTGATAGTAAGGTCTAAAAGCGGTGGATCAGGATGTGAGGGGAGAAAAGGGCCTTTGGAGAAGCTGTCGGGTGAAAGAGGGTTGTAGATAGAGTTTGGCCAGTGTCTTGGAAGCTGCACTCAAACCACAAGGCCTTGGAGTCAAGTGTCAGGACTTCCTTGTGGGGTGTCAGGGGACCAGCCAGGCTTAACAGCAAAATGAAGTTAGATCTGAGAATCAGAAACTAGAGTTCAACACTCACCGCGTCTCCTAGGCAGAAGAGGGTCTTTGAAGCCTTTTGTCTTTCTGAGGGCAATGTTCAAAATTGTGACTGGAACAAGTGTATCCGAGAAGGAAAGACACGTGAAACACCCTTCTCAGTTCCAATTACCTAGCTCTCTTGCCTTTCCTCATCTAAGTTTGAAATGCCCTCTGTGGACTGTGTTTATGAATAGGCTATTTCTATCCACTAAATACAGTAAAAGAGTTTTTTTCAGTTGTTTTTGTTCTTATTGACTCTTGACTTTGCTTTCTGGGACAGCATCTCAGTACCAAGCCCAGACTGGTCTTGAACTTACGATCCTCCTGCCTCTCAGTCTTCCAATTGCTAGGATTATAGAAATGTGCCACCGTACTTTGAAGCTTAAATGATTTTTAGCAATTAATTATGTGTGTCCTTGAGCACAGCACACAGTCTTCTCCAAAGCTAGTTTTCTTGCCTATAAAATGAGGCCTCAAGGTTTCACTTAATTCATAAAATTGTTGAGAAGATATGAGGTCATTCGTGTAGCACATAGCCACATAAAACGTTATCTAATAATGGTCTCTTTTCTCTACTGTCTGCTCACATTTTCTGACTTATTTTGGGTTCATACGGCAGCTTGTGCAAGTGTCCTTGACATGTTTCGGAAGTACAGATGCTCTTACTTCACTTCCTGCTGAAATGGAAACGCAGCTGTGTCTTTAGCTATCTGGGGACGACTGCAGAGATCTTACATGGTTCTGCAAGGAGCCATCTCTGCTTGTTCCTTGTCTGTGTTTCGGTGAAGACGGATGCAGCCGAGGTCCCGAGTCAGGTTCTGCAGTCGTTTTTGTTTTCTTTCCCTCCCCCTGCCTTTCCTTCCTCTCTCCCTCTGTTTTAAAGAATTATTTTATTTCAAATTCCGTATGTGTAGGGGGTCATGGGCATATGTGTGCCAGTGTCTGTGGCGGCCAGTGGCATCACCTACCCCTGGAGCTGGAGTTACAGGCAGCAGCGAGCTGCTGCATGTGGATGCTGGGAACTGATCTTGTGTTCTCTGTGAGAGGAGCAAGTGCTCTTATCTACTGAGCCATCTCTGTATCCTTCTTCCCTATTTCAGAGGACAGGGCTTCACTCTGTAGCCCAAGCTGCTCTGGAACTCACTATAGCCTTGATCTTACAGCTATCCTCCTGCCTCAGCTTCCCAAATCTTGAGATTACATTTTCATGAAGTTTCTCTTGCTGTAGCTCAGCTGCTTTGTGACCTTAAGAAGCAATGGGGTCCCCCTAGTTTGTTCCCTCTTTAAAAAAAAATCATGGTACCTTTGTCACAATGTTCAGGTTGAGGGTGAAAATTCAGGTTCAAGACCATAAACTGGAGATGGTGGTGCATACTTAGTCTAAAGAAAGAAAAGAAAAAGAAAAAAGTAAGCAAAGCAGAACCCCAAACCACCACTCTGCCCACAGTGTTTCCTGTGGTGTCCGCTTTCATGACATGACGCTAGCAAAGTGCAAGGGGACAATTTTGCTGTATCATTACCTGGGAAAGCAGGCAGCATCGTTCATGGGACTACAGTGGTAATCAGCATCAGACTGCAAGCCAACAAAGACTGGATGAGAACCTGTTCCTTCAACAAGATGGTTGTGGCCATTGCTTTTGATAATGTAGTATTTAGAATTCAAACCCTACATGAGCTGACTTCAACGGTAGAAGATGAAATGTCTCATCTTGTAAGAAAGTCCAGCGCTGCTTCTCAGAGAACACTGACAGTAGAGGCCAGCAGTTCCAACTGCCACCATGGTTCTGAGATGTAGGACAAATTGCGAAACCCACCCAGGCTCTGCTTTTCTTCATAGAAATTTTGCAAGGTTGTTGTATAAAGACTAAATGAGAAAACCAGGCATGCAATTAGCACAGTGTAATTAATAAATTAGCAGTTGCACTACACAGAACCTTGTTACCTAACAGTTGTTCAACACTGGGTGTCAGCCATCATCACTCTTGTCACAACCATCCTTATTGCCACCATATTGTTTCTGCAAGTGTTCAGGGAGGAGGCACTGGCCTTCCTTCTCTATTCCTGTCACTCTCTGAGGTCAGTTTTCTTACTATGCACTAAAACCCTCCTATCATTCCCCAAATACAAGAAACCTGTCTCTTCCTGTCCACGTCCGACTCTGTCCTGAGTCTGGCCAAGAACATCTTCCCAGGTCCCCCACTTTTCCGGCACACTCTTCTCTTTTCTTTGAAATTACCTGGTACAAATTTCTTTGAAGTTACGAGGTGAGTGAGAGATGCAAAGGCCTTGCAGTGCTGCAACCCTTGACACTGGCGTCCTTTGAGACCAGTTCTCAAGCCTCCAACTCGACTTCCCCATCCTCACAGTCTCCCAGGTAGGACTCTGGAGAAGAATGTGGGGGCCCACGGAGACCCCAGCTTGTGGCTTGTTTTCATCTTGACTCTAGGTCAGCGAGTCCAAGCTTCTTTTCCCCTGCAAGGTTGCATAACAGGATGTTTTGGCCAAAGGTGTGGTTACCAGATGTTTATACTTCCAGGCCTATTTACAGGACGCTTTGCCATAAGGCATGGTCACCAGATGTGTTGGGTACTAAGGAGGTGTTTACACTTGACTGTACTTTGTACCTTTGTGGGGCGTTTACCCAACCACCCCCACAGTTCCCCAGAGTTTTCTTGAGTGCGAGCAGCAGGAAATATTAGATAGAAGGATTTATTGCGGAGAATATCGCGGAGATAAACAGATAGAAAATAAAGAATAGCCTCGAGAGGGCCTGGAACCTATTCCAACGGGCCCTGACTGTCTCTGCCCCAGGGTTTTTATAGAGACGCCAAGGGGTGGAGCAAAAGACCTCCTCCCCCAGCACAGTCAAGTGCAGACCATCCCAGACACCTGCACTTAGGCCCGTGGTCCTAATCATCCTCTATGCGGACCTGCTGGGTAAAGCCACGAGGAACCCGAGAACGGGCTCCCACATACCTTGAACTGTGATGTCCTTGAAAAGGGGAGGTCTTTTTGCCCCCCCCCCCCACTTTGGGTATATAAAGGCTGTGAGTAATAAACTCAGGGTCTGTGTTATTGACCCAGAGCTCTCCCGTGTCTCTGTCTTTTTCTTCAACTACATCTCTATTTCCTAGCTTTCATTTCCCAATCCCACACTCCTGCCTTCAGTACCGTTCAACAGATGGAGTGGGACTCGACGGAAGGGACACTGAGAAAATGATGACTGAGGACGGTTTAGCCTACACGCCCTGATCCTTCTTTTCACCAATCTGTGGGCCCTTCATGTCAAACTCACAAGACTGAGGACTGAAGTTGCAATACATCTATCTCTCTTGTTCTTGTCTTTGACCAGCCAGTTCAAGTGACAGATTGAGATGAGTTCCACCACGCACTTAAGTTTATTTTACAGTGTGCCCACAACATGAAGAATGCCTGGCATTCCTTAGCAGTATGCTAAGATTTGATAAACATCACTGTTCAGTTTTTGAGACAGAGCTAGCTGCTCTTCCTGTCTCTATCATTCCGTCCTTAGGGTGGTCGAGAACCCGTTGAAGCCCTGCAGGCGGGGCACTCTTCCTGTCTCCACTCTCCAGCTAGTGTTCAAGCCAATGTGAATGGCAGCTTTGGTTTCTCACTAAGGGTGTTTCACCTACGAGGCTTTCTTCATGACCTGATGAGAAGTGCTCCCGCATAGATTCCTCATGAAGATCTTAAAAATAAAAAGATTTATTTAAGCTGTATGTCTCTGTGTGTGCACATGTGTGTAGGGACCCATGGAGGCCAGAAAGGGCGTTGGATTCCCTGGAGTGGGAGTGATAGGTGGTTGTGAGCGACCCAATGTGTGCTGGAACTGAACTCAGGTCCTTTGCAAGAGTAGTGTGCACTTCTAACCACTGTGCCATCTCTCCAGACCCTCACAAGGATTTTCAAAGAAATTTTGAGAAAGATGTTCGGAGGCGAAAAGATAAAGAGACCCTTATTCCCTAGTGGCTTAAACAACAGAAATTTATTGTCATACTTCTGGAGATTAAAAGTCAGAAATCAAGATGGTGGCAGGGTTGGCTCCTTAAAGGCTGTGTGGAAAGGTCTGCTCAGGCCTCTGTCCGTATGTCCTCTTGCCCCGTGTCTACTGGTTTGTTATCCTCCTCCTGCTCCCGCTAAGCATGTCCGTCTTTATGCTTTGTGTCTAAGTGTCTCTTTCTTACGAGTACACCAATCCTGTTGGATTAAAGTCCACTCTAAGACTTGATGTTTGTTCTTTTTGTTTTTTTCTAGAGTCTCTCTACATAGCCCTGACTGTCCTGGGACTCACTCCATAGACCAGTCTGGCCAGAAACTCACAGAGATCTTCTGTCTCTGCCTCCCCATTGCTGAGATTAAAGCTGTGCAACACCAACATCAGCTCTAAGACTCATTTGAACTTTAATCTCTGCAAAGACTCTGCCTTCAGGTAAGGTCAGGTTCTCAGATCCTAGGGGTTTAGAATTCCAGCATATTGTTTTGTGGGGAGGACACTTTTTTTCCTTTTTCCTTTTCTTTCCTTCTTTCTTTCTTTCTTTCTTTCTTTCTTTCTTTCTTTCTTTCTTTCTTTCTTTCTTTCTTTCTTTCTTTCTTTCTCTCTCTCTCTCTCTCTCTCTCTCTCTCTCTCTCTCTCTCTCTTTCTTTCTTTCTTTCTTTCTTTCTTTTTTTGTTCAAGATAGGATTTCTCTGTGTAGCTTTGGCGCCTGTCCTGGAACTCACTCTGTAGACCAGGCTGGCCTCGAACTCACAGAGATCCACCTGCCTCCGCCTCCCAAGTGCTGGGATTAAAGGTGTGCACCACCACCGCCCGGCTGGGAGGACACATTTTAACCCAAACAGCTCCCACCTGTCATTTCCAAGCAATAATCATCATGGTGGCTCCATTTCAAAACAGCAGGGAAGTGGTTTGTTAACAGAGAACTGTCAAGAAAAAAAAAAAGTTGAGCTTCCCCCGCCTTGTAGCCCTGGCTGTCCTGGAAGTTGCTCTGTAGACCAGGCTGCCCTCCAACTCAGAGATTCACCTGCCTCTGGCCCCCAAGTTCTAGGACTAAAGGTGTGTGTCGCCACATCTGGCTAAAAAGTTGAGCTTTTAGAATCACACAGAACAACTTTATTGACAGTGCTTTTAGCTAACTGTCAAGGGAGTTGATCTCTGAGTATGAGTACACAAAACAGGAAGGATGGACTTCAGGAAAAGTTTCAGTAAATGTCCAACATCTAGACTTTTTGGAGTGAGGCACATGCCTGGAGGTCAGAGGACAACTTTCAGAAATCAGTTCTGGTGATCAAACTCAGGCCATCAGGCTTGGTGACAAGCAGGTAGAGACCTGCTGAGCCATCTCACTAGCTCCAGTGTCTAACTGTTTATGTCATGGACCTGTCTCTCAGCGAATCATTCTGGGAACCAGATAGCCCTGCAGGGTAATGCGGCATTTTCTAAATGGCTACCTAAAATAATGAATTGGATTCCTACAGAGGTACAGCTCACCTTGAAAACCATTTATTCATGGATGGATGATTCCACTAGAAATAACAAGAAATAGTTTGTACATATGCCGTACAGGTGCACTTTCCAAAAGTGATTCTCAACCTGTGTGTGATTGAACCCATTCTTGCAGAACCCATGGATATAAGAGGGAGCTACCTTTGAGAAGGACACACACAACTGAACTGCTATGCCCCTCAGGTTGTGAGCTGCTCCAAGAACACTTTCAGCTTCCTCCTCTTGTACTAACCTTGGGGCTTCCTCTAAACAAGGTCAGAAGTTAGCTTAGCGTTGTCTAGGTTTCTCTTCCCTTCCCTTTGAATGCTACCTGCCTTTCTCCCATTGGGGCTAAGGCAAGCTTTCAAGACTGAGAGGAATACAATTTCACATTTTGTCACAGCTGGGATAGGAGACATCTGGATTGTTGATTCCTCAAGATTTAGAATCTAGAAATTCTGGCAATTTATGCACAGGCATGTGCAACATCTGAGGAAAGCCCCTTCCGTAGTGGCAGAATCAGAGGGGTTAAGGATCTTGAGACAGCAAGCTCTGCCCCACATTTCCCAAGTCCCTTCTTCAGCATCCTTGGGTCACGGAGCTGTCTTCCAGGGCCACCTTCTTTTACCCACCCATAGTAGCTGACCTCTGTCAAACCACTGGTAAAAAAGTCCTCTTTATACAAGAGGATTTGAACTTGAACTCCGTGGAACTTCCACCCATGGCCTTTGTTCTGTTCTGTCCTCCTTCAAGTGGGCTAGTCTGTCTCCCCTATTTTTTCCTCCCAAGGTAGTCACCCCAGCCTCTTCATCTCCTCTGCTGCTAACCTAGACTTCGGCTACCCTTGATCTCCTGCATCGAATATGTAGAGTTACTTATGAGCAGGGCTCCCAATAGTGCCCTGAACAGGCAAGAGTAGACACAGCCATCACCAACCTTCTGTGTGTTGTTTACTTAAATTCTAGGCCAAGCAGACATTAAGAAAACAATAAATGCTTTTGAGAATATGGACCAAAGCAAATTCGTATCATATATACTGCTGGTGGGGATGCAAACTAGTCTGCTTTATTAAAAAATTGAAAATAGATTTGCCATGTGACCCTGCTGTGCCAGTCCTGGGTGTTTTCCCAAACAACTTCAAGCCAACATGTCACAGAGACACATGCAGATTGCCGTTTCTTGTGTCACTAGTCACAGTAGCTAAGTTACGGAACCAACCTAGATCCCAGCAACAGACGACTGGATCAAGAAAATACTGTAGACTAAACAAAGGGATTGCTTTCAGCCGTGAAGAAGAACATTATTTTCAAGAAAGGAAATGCAACCAAAGATAATTATACTTAATTAATCCAGTTTCAAAAAGACAAATCTCATTTTTTTCATTAGAGCCCTCTATTTTATACAAATACATAAAATCCTATCTCCATAAATGTCATAAAAGTGGGCTTGAAACTGTCTAGGGAAACAACGGGGACCAACAGGAGGGGGGAGGATGAGAAAGGGAGAGCAGAGGGTGTGGAGGTGCGTTCAGTGTACAACACATGCTTGTGTGAAATGGCTTTATATAAATAGCACCACATACAGTAACTCTACAAGATGACATTTTCAACAAAGTTAGGCCAAGATCAGGGCATCTTTCATGTTTTTTCCTCAGGGTGGTAGAGGGATGGTTACAACACACGATTACATCACTCTATTGACCCATTTTGAGCTACCTCTTGCACAAAATACCTTAGTGTGTCTGCATGGGGCTCCGAATCCCATAACTGAGTTTTGGAAGCACAGACAAACCCGTGCCTTTACCATGCTCCTCCATGGTTTGAACTTGCAGAAGTGTTTGTACCCAGGTTCTGTCTCCTCACATCCCCTGCTGTGTCAACACACGTGTCTCTCTGTGTCTCTTGTGGGGCCATGGATGGAACGCTTCCCTCAGACCTGATCTCTTCCCGGTGTGGAGCTGAAAGAGACAAGGTCTAAAGAGGAGTGGAGGCCTTGGAGGCTAAGGATCTGAACAGAAGACTTTTACTTACTTTGTTGTGAAAGCAATTTGTGAAACACGGAAATGCCAGTTTGTACTGATGCTCCCAAAGAGAAGCTGGGTTTCTTACACGGAGGTTTGCAGTAGGCGTTGGAGGGCAGGAAATGGGAGCAGCAATTGCCCACCCTTCTCTACCATCCTCTTAGACTCCCAGGGCCTGCCGAAGGGCTCTGGCTAACGGCTGCTGCTGCTAAGCCTCACCACTTGAGTTCCACACAGAGGAACTCTCGGACTCACACAGTGGAAGGAGAACACTGACTTCCACAACTTGTCTTCTGATCTCCTCATGGGTGCCGTGGTACACTCAACCCTCTTGTCACACAGACACATAAAACAAACAAACAACTAAACAAATAAATATAAAAAAAAATTGAAGAGTTCCCAGGAATGGAGAAAGAATTTGCAGTCACTAGCCAAGAGTCTTGTCTTATATTATTTTCAGGACTTGGAGTTTGCAAATTGCTAATCTACGGAGGCTGAAGTGTGCCAGAAAGAGTCCAAAGGAAGCACCGTGAATTTAAAATTCGTTGTGTGATAGGTAGCTCTTCTTTCCTCCCCTGCACCTTTCTTTTTTTTTTCTTAGCACTTCCAGGATAGGGATTTAGGAATCTCAGATTATTATAGATGGGAGACTTTGGATATTAGGTTTCTTATTTGTAAAAGAGAACACTAACTGTATCTTCTGGGTAAAAGCCATAAAGACTTCATAGAAACTACATGGAGGGCACTCTGGGGTGGAGCTTGGCTTGGTCTGGAAAGTTCTGTGAATGAGAGAACCCTTCTTATGATGATAGAAGCAGGAATGGGTGTCCTTTCTTCCCTCTCCCGCACAAGACTTGACTCAAAAATAATAGAAAGTGTTGTCGTAACTGGAGCCAGTTGGCAAGGCAATTCGAAAATGGTGATTTTTCATGCTTCCGTAGTGTTGGGGCTGAAGTGTGTGACAGTGAATACTCTCCAGGAAATGTTTCTGAGACAGACACTGGGTTACTTGATCTCTTCCTGTCAAATGATAAGGTTCCGCCACAGGCTGACATTTTCTTAGACTGCAGTGTGGTAGTGCTGGAGCCTCCAAACTCCTTCTGGATATGTCTGTGCTTAGAGTTCCTGGGTTAGCCCTATCCTTAGAGTTCCTAGGTTAGCCCTAGCCACAGGGACCAGGACAGTCTGCCAAAGTTTTTATTTACAGCAAAAGAAAAAACAAAACAAAGCAGCAATAATTGGTATTTGTGTTGCTCATTTTTTTGCTAATACGCTAATTTTTGATGTTTTCTTTTTGTCTGATTTTAAAGCTAAAAGATTTTTTAGGTGGGTGAGGAGGGGTGACCTAAGATCATTACTGAGATTAACAAAAAGTGATCACAAATAGATTTCTCAAGCAGGTAACAGTTAAACAACAACAACAACAACGAAGAAGAAGAAGAAAAGAGGGGTCAAAAAAAGGTAATAGAAATTCAGAAATATAGTTCAAAAACTCCTAAGATCTGAGACATTGTGTCTAAATGCTCATGTTATGTAATCATAAGTGAGAAGAAATAAAAGTAGAATTTTTATAAAAACAAAAATGAGTATATCTTTGTTTCTCAAAATTATGTACCTCTTGTACTTATGATCATTATTGAGTAGGCAAGATTGATGTTAGACTGTTTAATGAAGGTTTTGCTTTTGTACAGTCAGAATCATTGTTGAGGAAGACTCTGCAAGCCTAGGATTCTTTATCATATACCATATCACATGGTCTTTGGAATGAGACTACTTGGGTGAGTCCTGGACCAAGATGACTAGCACTCTAAAATACAAAAAATTACCCACTTGGTTGTGATTTCACTTCGGCATGTCTAAAACACACAGCTGACTGAGATGTGGTGAGGTTTGGATGAAACTGTTCCTGTGAGACATAGCGACTGGACTAAGACTTCGACACACACACAGAGCATCCACCAAATCACCAGCTGGATTATTTTTCCTATTACTATAGTGGGAAGGCTCTTTTTTTGCATTGTCTGCTTCATAACCCAGGTCCCGCCATGTTGGTTCATAGACCCTCAAGTCGTAGCTACCATGGAGGGGGAAAACCAGACCAAAGACTGAGATTAAGCTTTCCCCATGTATGATGAGACGGCTGTTGTCTAGAATTCAGGCCACAGATCCATAGTGGAGACCTTTCCGTCTCCACTTTCTCTAACAGAAGTGAAGGGGATCACTTTAGGGCAGCTACTGACCACAGAAAATGACAGATGTGTGTGGTCCTTGCAGGTCCTTTTTCAGGTTATATCCCATTTCTAGGTACCAAGTAGGACTGTGGATCTGGATCTTTCTCTGGCAGGTGTCCCAACAAGAGAGCTTGGAAATTGTCAGACATCACACATCACCAGTGCCCTGGCTAGCACAATGCTTCATAAACTATGATGGAAACTATAAACATTTCCCTTTTTAAAAATAAACCCCAAGCTGGGGTGTGGCGTGGCTCAGTGCATGAGAGCCTGGATATTTGAGTCCCGGTAACAAAAAGAAGGGCAAAAAGAATCACAGAATTAAGGAAAAAATGTAACTAGAGATGGCTCAGTGGTTAAGAGCATTGACTGCTCTCCCAGAGGACCTGGGTTCAATTTCCAGCACCCACATAGCAGCTCACAACTGTCTGTAACTCCAGTTCCAGGGGACCCAACACCCATGGCAAAACCACTAATGCACATAAAGTAAAAATAAATAAGTTTAAAAAAACAAATGGACAACAACAACAATAATAAAAAACAAAGCAGAATTGTCTTGTTTGGCATGCAAGAATACAGGAGGCAGTCACTTAGATTAAAATTGATACAAATCACTTGTAGCTACCAGAGTTTTTTTGTTTTGAGAATGTTTGGCTATTTCCTCCACATCAGTAAATGAGTCTGTGATGTATTATGCCACCGAGAACTATTAGGGCTAATACTGTGGAGAAGGGTAAAATTTGAGCATTTTTCTCAGAAGCTTGCTGGGGATTTTTCTCATTATACACTAGGCTGAGCTTCCCACAGATGTTTTGGGGGTTTTGAAGATATTTTAAATAGAAGAGATTCTCTTTAGTCTGGGAGATTTAGATACCCTCTGCTTTCACACACGGAAATGAGTAATTTGTTCTTGATGCTTGGCTTGTTTGGTACCCCTGGGCTCAGAATGGCTTATTATGGCAGCGAGCTCCTTCACAGCATCTCTGAACCAACAGGTAACCACTGTGGTCCACTGAGCCTTCTCTGAGGGGAAGCTGATGGCAGACCTATGGCTAAGAAGGACGGACTCAAAAGCTGAACAGAAGTCCAACTGGCACATTGCTAACACAGGTAATGCAGTTGGCAAACTTGATCTTAATGGTAGGCTGCATGTCACTTAGTTTATGGTTGGAATAAACAGCCAATTGTAGCTACTTAAAGGAATAAGAAAAATAAAAATGGTCTCAGGAAAAGGCAAAACAAAGACAGAATTGGAAGGTTGAACAATTGGACCAGTGTGGAGGGAAGATCACCAAAGGAGTTTCCTTCGGATTCTACAAATCTTGGCAGCCTTGGGACATCTGGAAAGGCAAAGGGTGGCAAGCCATAGAGTCTGAAGCTGTGAAATGGAGCCAAGACCCCAGCCGTTGAAAGGAGGAGTGGCTGTAGCCAACAGAGCTGGTGAACTTCTGCCATGATGTGGCTGACTGAAACAGACCAGATGGGATGACTTCACAGTAGCCGCAGTGGCGGTGCGTCCTCTGTGTCTGTCCCTTTGGAGTATGTAGCTCGTGTTGGAGTCTCCCTGCCTCGCATTTCCTTCCCTGTCTTTTTCTGTCCTTCTATTTCTTCCCTCTGTTTCTCATGGCCTCTCGTTCATCCCAGTGCTCTGTGTGACAGTGTGCTTTATCACTTTCTTGTTCCTATCAAAGCTTATCAAAACCTAGTGAGTTCCAGCCTGAGTCTTCTTCTCGGTGAGGTACCAGAGCCACCAGGCACACTTATGAAAGACTTCTTATTGGTTAACATTTTGATAAAACACAGTGCTTAACACTCTGGATTACTGAACCAGCAAGGGGCAGGCAGCAGCACACACCGTTTGGAGGGAAAAGTCTTTCTGCTACCCTTTCATCCTACTGTTCAGGCAAGGCTTCAGCATCAGGCAAGACTGGCTTGTGTGGTAGATCTTCTCTGTCCTTATTTTCAAAGAAGGCTCAAGGGACTCTGGAACTCCTTCTTTTATAAACAGAAACATGATCTAAATGAGTCCACGTTAGGTCTGGTAAAGACTGAGATTGAAATGGTAAGTCTTTGAAATCAGTCAACCTCAGAGCCTGGGGTGGGCGTTTGCCGTCCATTGAGTCACACTGCTTTGGGATTCGCCAGCTCTACTTTCTGTTTCAGCAATAAAAAGTCTTGTAAAATGGCTGGCATGTGAGACAGAGGTATCCAAAAGGTCTTGGCATCTTTTCCAGCGGTATAACGAGTCTTGGGGAAGACGCTCGTTAGAGCGTGGTCCATGCACTCTACCACTAGAGAGAGGTCCAAGTTCACTGAGGACGTACTTCTTTTCAGTTTGTGTAGACCTATAAAAAAAAAAAAAGACCAAAAATGTGCTTACTCTTGGGCAGAAAAGAAGAAGCAGAGTGGGAGGCTAGGGTGCAATCAGGAAGACACATGACAGGGACTTTTAGTCTGAATTTGCCATTGTCATTGAGGCTCACTGGAATGAGTTTCCATTCTCCAGAAAAGGATGCTGCAATGTCTTCTTTAGGCTAGTTGGTCTCATCTCAAGCTTGAGTGGGTAGTAGAATCTCCTAGAGGGCTTATTAAAATCTAGACTTCTGGGTTCTACACACAGAATTCCTGAGCCAGTAGGCATGACATGCGGTCTTAGCATTTGCATTTTCTACAAGTTTTCAAGTAATGCTGCTGGTCCGAGGACCTTGAAGACTGTTTCTTTAAAGACAGAATGGAAAAGATACTGTACAGAGCCCATGAGGGCCTTCCTCTAGGAAGTCATGATTTTGATTCCTAATCCTTTCTAGAGAGTACTATGTTATAGGAAATAGGATTATGTACACATTCTTGTGCATGAGTGTGCATTTGTGCATATTTGGATGGAGAGGGCATCATACCACCGAACATCTCTACAAATTTGTTCTGAATTAGAAGTGAAAAGTCTTCTAATTGTCAGGCAAATACAATTTTTGAGTCACGACCTAAGATCCCATCAAGGCAAATACGTTCACAAGAGATTGGGAATGATTTGAAGCCCTGGATTCTTCAATAAAAAAGAGTTGTAGCTGGGCGGTGGTGGTGCATGCCTTTAATCCCAGCACTTGAGAGGCAGAGGCAGGTGGATCTCTGTGAGTTCTAGTCCAGCCTGGTCTACAGAATGAGTTCCAGGTCAGGCTCCAAAGCTACACAGTGAAACCCTGTCTTGAAAAACAAAAACAAACCCAACAAAAAACAAACAATAAAAAACAAATAAACAAAAAAAAACCCAATCAAACAAACAAAAAACCAAAAAGAGTTGTAACAACTAGCCATCCACAGGCAAGGGAATGAAATTGGAACCTTATCTCCTATTGACTACAAAAGTCAACTCAGGGCATAGCAAAGACCTTAAAGTAGAACCTTAAACTATAAAGCATAGAGCAAAAGCTTTTTGAAATTGGACTAAGTAATAAGTTTTGAAGATGATCCCTGTAGCACAGACCACAAAATCCAAGATGGCTGGCCAGGACTGCATCAGACTAACCATCTCCTCTGCACCAAAGGAAGCAGTTAAAAGAACACAGAGACAACTCATGGAATGGGAAAAAATTATTTTCAAACCATACATTGATAAAGGGTTGATATCCAAAAAGAAATATAAAGGGAACTCCAACAACTCAATAGAAAAAAATGAACAATCTGATTTTTAAAACATGAAAAGGACCCAAACAGACATTTCTCAAGAGGCCATAAGCAGGGCCAGTGGGGGGTGTGTGTGAGTGTATTATTCACAGTGCATGAATTGCTCTAGTACTCAAGTTCAATCCACAGCACAATATCGTATTGGACCATTGGAGTGGCAGTGAGACCACAGATAAGAAGTATTGACCAGGGTGTGGAGGAAAGAGATCCTGTGCTGGTAGTTGCTGAGAATGTAGACTCAAACAGCAATGATAGAAAATGGTATGGGCTTTCTCAAAAAATAAACCACAACAAAACAGCTGCAAAGTAGAACTACCATATGATATTCATGTGCTTTCAAACATACCTGAGCCATGTTTTCTCAGGGAGAAAACCTACCATGTTAGATCTCAGGCCCCCAATTGTTCAAAGAACCTAATAAGTGACCGTGATATTCCGTGAGTGGCCCCAAGTTCTTTAAAGACCGTATGTAGTAAGTGTTAATGACTAATTTACATTGTTGTTCAGCCTGGGAAATGAGGAAAGGTGACCTTAAATTTCTGGTCTGCATTGGGACTGTAAGTCTGGTTCACCTCTGAATTCTGACTCAGAAATATTTAATACGATAAATCAATATAAAATTGGGCTCAGTGCTCTTTTATATTGCTTAGTAAAGAAAGTTTAGAATGTTTTCAACCTGAAGAAATGACAGATGTTTCAGAAAATCAATGTCACAGCCACCTCGATCTGTATCCATATCACGATATGCCTCATAAATGTGTACAATTGTTATGTACCCAAATGGAAAATTTTTCGATGGAATTTTGTGATATAGTGATAGGTACTTATCAGTATCATCATAATTATCTAATATAGAAAACTCTTTTAAATGAAGGACTTTGTCTCTGAAGTATTAAGTCTAACAGGGGTAAGTTCAATGTTTTACCTTTGACCTACCTAAAACCTTTAGAGTCAGAGTGTAAGAAAGACAGCTTCTAATGGTGATGACTCGAAGCTTACAGAGAGACATTCTTAGACAAGTTTGTCAATTAGTCATTTTAGTTGAAATCTTCAGCAGGCTTTTTCTTGTGTGTGTATTAGATTGAGGTGGTGGTGGTTGGAGATGTCTATCATTTTCAAAACTTCCGTAGTGTTTCTGATTTGAGTCTTGGGTTTACATTCAAACTACTGATCTTGAACCTTGTCATAGTTCACTGTGTTACATGACTAGTGATGAGGCAGAGTCACATTTTGGAGGGGTGCTGTGACATGGAGGGAGGCAGGACCTTGTTCCACTGACGGCAAGAGGATTATCAAGCAAACATTACTGGTTCAGGAAACTGGAGGTGGGAGGAAGGGTCTAAGAGGAACTGCGACCGAAGTCTTCACTGCATTGGTTCCTTTGTGCTAGAGTGCCCAAGAATGCACTGCATGATTGTGCTGGGTTCACATCTATCTAGCTAGCTGTGCGGTTTCAGGCACGTCATTTCTAGGTCTCTAGTTCTATAAAATGAAGGCGATAACAGCATCTACTCCATAGAGCTTGGGGGTTGTAAACAAATGGAAGTGGGTGTGTGAGGCACTTAGAGCAATGACAAGTGCCTTGTAAATGTTCTCAGTATTAATCATCATTGTGTAATCTTTATTATTATTTCTCCCATCGACTCAGTCTTTTGACTCATTTTACCTCTTCTTCTGCTTCCCCTTCCATATGTTCCTGCCTCTGACAGCTTCCTCTAACCGAATAACTCTTTCCTGGATTCTAAAGCCCTATTCAAACCTGTCCTGTCCTGTTAAGGCTTCTCAATCAGCTGGGTCCCTTTCCTGGTCTGTATTCCCTCGGCAATTAGAGACTGCACCATCAGCTTCCCTTTTGACTCCCTGGGTTACCCTAAAGAGGATCTGTTTTCTTGATCCTGTGTAGTCTCATTGTTTCACGGTTTTACTTGGCTACTCTTTGTAGTCAGCTATAGTGGACTGTAAGGATCATAGTCTGACTCTTCTCTATCATTGTCCATCATTGTCTCCACAGATCCTTGAACAAAGCTGAATGAATGGATTGTGTTTAGTAATAAGATGAAATATGTATAGAAATGAAGACTCTGAGAGCCAGGCTGCCTGCCTTCATATCGAGCATGACCAGGAGACACTGAATCAAGCCGGAAAGGACATTTTACCTTGCAAAGCCTCTATTCACTACTCCAACACACCTTTTGAGGCATAAATGACATTATTCAGAAATGATGAGCATAAAACCTAGCATTTGTTAGTTTCTGAGTACGCAATTGTACCCAGAAAATTGAGAGATGATACTGGACTTATGAAAGGTCACTATCATTATGTTTGTGACTCCTTCACGATGACCAGGACAGTGAATCCCAGAAGGCACTAGATCTACCCCCAGACTCACTTTTTTCGATGTAGCCTTCTCCATATTGTTGTTTGACGTCTGGAGACAGATGTTTCCAAATGGCCAGTTTTTTTTCAGTTGTCTTTATTGGGTCTGCCAGTTCTGTTTTGAACAGTCCTGGTTCAATGCATGAGACATGCACACCAAAAGCTTTCATGTCCCGCCTGTGAGAAGAACAATCAAATAATTTTTTTAAATTAAAAAAATACGTTTTCATTGAGCTGTGGTCTAATCTACGGCTTCATTCATGATAGGCAAGCATTCTGTAGTCACATCCTCAGTCTTTTTTTTTTCTTTTTTAATTTTCTTTTTGTTTCATTCAGATTTATTTGGAGAGTGTTTACTACTTGTTAACTAGCTCCTCATAAATCTTTTCATAGAATCCCAGAATGACTACGTTGGCAGCAAACACCTTGTTTTACTTCTGTCACTTGGAAGATGAAGAAATTGGAGTTCAAGGTGGTCACGTGAGGCTGAATGACAGAACAGGATGTGGGTGGGACAACCTTCTGAATAACACCACCCTAATCCAGTGTTTGTCTCTGTAAGCCACATCCTTCTTATTAAACTGGTAAGCATTTAGGTTAAGACTATTTCTACTCCATGCTCACAGTATCCAATGGGGAAATGGACCAGTGACTGGCTTGGACGGACAAGTTTGCCTTGGGTTTTGGAATGTGGATTGCAGCATGGCTGAGGATGCTGAAGGATCTAGTATCGTGATCCCTGGCATGCCATCCTGATCCCCGTGCTGCTGAGCAAGCTTCCCTTCCCAGCACTACGGACAGCCTCAAGTCTACATAGTCACTGAATCACAGGTTTGAGATGTTGGTACCTCCTTCCTGTCAACCAAACAATGTACTGCAGACCGGTTCATGAACAATCATTTCCTAAATTTAATGTCTATTTCCTCCAGGAATGTATAAAGAGGCAATTACTTGTTTTGTAGACATCTTACTCATGCTGAGGCTTGAACCCAGAACCTTGTAGCACTAGGTGAAAGCTCTGCCACTAAGCTATATCCCCATTCCTCACCACAAGATATTTTTCTTTAATAAGCTCTAGTTGTAATCTTAAAATGTAATTCAATTCTTTCCAGATTGTGCTTTTTAGCAACAAAACTATTACACAATTTGAAATGTATTTTACTGACAATGTAAATCAGCTCAACCCTGAGAGATTTTGAAAGGTGTATTACATTTAAAATCTTAAAGGTTATTTTTCAATCTAATTATATTTTACTCAACTGTCAACCGATGTCTGTTGGATCTGGGAGACGGCAGTTCCAAGGAGGTATTTGAGAAGACCCTTTTCCTCTGTACTCATGAAAATGACACAGGGACAGGAGACAGGCCATAGCTTACGAGGCCAACATGTTGCTAAGTCAACATGAAACCAATATGCTTGCTCAGCAAACACAGATTCAGAGTCCCAGTCCTCTGTTGACTGTTGTCCCTCTGTCCTTCTCTATATATGTAGACATTCTGGAACAGGCACCGGACTAGGCTGCATGCATGTTTCCATGTCAAATACCAGTTCTATGGGTCCATAAAGACATAAACCCTTCCTGTTGATTACTTTAGGACAGTGTATAGCTACACAACAGATTCTACAAATACTCCAGTCAAAATATCTTTTTAAATACTAGCGTGTTACGAAGATATTGCTTTTTGTAGAATAGAGCGAAAGGTCAGCCAAGATGGAGAGCGGTTGCCATGACTGTTACTTGAAGTGTGATGATCCCTGAGCCATCAACAGCATCGGGTAACTCTGTAGAAAAAAACTCGCCACTCTCATCCCAGACCCACCTCCAACAATATATACATATTTAGCAAGTTCTCCAGGCTATTCAACTTTACATTTATGTTTTGGAAGAATTTTATTGTGTTTATTTCTTAGGAGACTCAGACTTGGCATCTAGATCATGTGGCAGAATGGAGTTATGGACCTCTATTGACCTCAGTGGGATCATCTATCCTCTTTATTACTAAGCTACTCCTAGATCTGTGGTATAGAGTATAAACTCTAACATATGCCTTCAGTAAGTACCAATTGAATAAGCACATAGGGGAATTAAAGGCAAGTCAATATCAATTTTGTCTTTTCTCCTTCTTGTGTCATTATGACTCAACCGACTTAACTTACACATACTTCTCCAGTCCTTTCTGCTGGCACTATGTCCCAGAAGACTCACCTACATTAAGTGTATCCCAGCATCTGGTGGACACAGTCTATCCGAATCAGGAGTGGGAGTACAAGGAGTGGAATTAATAATTCCTCATGTAGTGTTGACACTGGTTATTTTATCTTTTAGCTAGAACTGTCAATATCTGTGTCTCCAGGTTCTAGAAACTTCCCTCTCTTCATCCCTTAGTTCTTGTATAGCAAAGCCCTTTGGTGTTAGCCCTTATTCCTATCCTCTGAGATTTCTCTGCATACCTCCCACATTTGAAAATTGTCCTTTAACTAACTCTGTTCTCTTACTACAATTTTAGTGTGCTGTTATTTCTTTTCAGAACCTTGACTGAAAAAGCTCCAATTCTGGTTCCAGGTAAGAGGAACCAAACATCCCCTTCCTGCCTCTCCTGCTGGATACAGCTGCAGAACCCAGGCAGAGTGTATTGTGTAGCCATTGAGAACTGATGTTTTTCTACCGGAAGCTTAAATAAGCTGGTGCTGTCCCATTAACAACTTCCAGAAATAACAAGAGAGTGACCAACCCTGGATGATTCTCTATTGGACAAATTGACCTGTTGACTCTAAATTCATAAATTCATACCACTATGGGCATCATACACTAATACAAAAAGCAAAAAGAGTCAACATAGACTCGAGTTCAAATCTCAGATCTACCACTTATCAGCTGTGTAACCCTGGGCAAGTAGAAATATTTAAAGTGTGAAAAGGATACTTCATATATACTAAGTATCCAGTATGTGTTAGCATCAATTATACTCTAAATCAGTTAATCCACCTTACCTTAAGCTGTCATTGAAACCTTCCACTGCATATTTGGATGGAGTGTAGCCCCCTCCTCCGAATGCAAGCCGGCCTCCGATACTGGAGACATTGATAACACGCCCTCGAGCTTTTTTGACCAGGGGCAGCATATTCAATGTCACGTCGATGAGTCCAAACAGATTCACTTCAATGGGTTCTCTGTAGTCATTCACGGTCAGCCAGTCAGTGGGTGCCAGCACGCCGAGGACACCAGCATTATTGATCAGCCCCCAGAGACCTGGAGCAGAGAAAAAAGGAGCCACCATGGAAGATGTCATTTCTATGGGCATCGCTGATGAAAATACGGTTCTTTCTTTACACAACGGCGCTATTTTCTCTTTGTAGTCATTCCCAAATGGCTTTGCATTTTGGGAAAGTGGCAGCTGACAGAGTGAGAGACTAAGTTGAAATTGTTCATGTTTAGTTACTGGAATTCAGTCTCACTGCTCTTCTATTTCTGGCTCCAAGTGTCATATTTTTTTTTAATGTTTTCTGAGGCAGACTTTCTGATTTCTCATCTTAGATATAGAGAACACTGGTCTGTTTTCCTGCCTTGCAAGGATGGTGCAGCCAGTGTATATTTATAAAATATTCTGTATGGACAGAGACGTGATAGGAACCTAATTTATGCTGAAATTTTGCTAGAAAGATAAGTCATCCATTTGGCTGTTTCTTGATAGGAAATACATGGTATTGCTAAAGGTGTTGGAATTCAGGCACCAAAGTTTGTCCGGAGGCTTTCCTGAGCCGTTGCATTCAAGGTTCAGAGGCTTAGAGCTAAAGATGTTATTGAAGCTCATGCATTTGCTTTTCTCTTTCATGAACCCTGATATCTTCTTCTTATGAGACTATTTCAATATTCAAAGCTGGCCAATCTCTCCCAGTTGAGAGTGCAGCTCTCTAACAAAGTCCATAGCAGAGGGACTGTCCACTGCGCATTGGACTATATGGACTCCTTAAGACCCCTATCCTCACATCCCTGGATCCTGTTCTACCGACTACTAAAGATGTATGAACTCTGGAACCCATCTTTTGAGATGTGGGTCCCAAGTAATCCAAGGGGTGATCTGGATGCTGTTTCCATATTCTCCTATAGACTTGAACCTCAGCTCCCTTTGCTGTGATGTTGTTGGAGAAGGTCAGGGACAGTTAGGGCATTCATTTCTGTTCTAGGTTCACCTGCTGGGACTCTACGCAGTCCATCTAGGTCGCATCTCACATACACTGGCATTCCTCAGAGGCTCTGTGTGGAGATTAAGAAATGTGCTGCTGGGCCTTAGGAGACATTGTCTTGAAAAGCCATTTAAACCATGAACTCATTTTATTTTGCTTTAGTTATCTCCCCATCCACCAGCCTTCCTATCCCATATCTTTTTCTCTTACCTTTTCCCCCTACATGGTTCTTCACCCACTGGGCAGTCCTCTTGACATTCTCTGGGTCGGTGACATCCAGAAGCACTGTGTGAAGTCTCTCTGAGGTTTTGGCCTTCAAAGCAGCTGCTCCTGACTCCGTCAGGCAGGCAGCGATGACCTGGAAGCCCTTCTTATCAAAAGTTCTGGCTGCCAAGTTTCCAAAGCCTGTGTCACAGCCAGTGATGAAAATGTACTTGTCAGTGATATTAGCTATCTTCAGCTGTCCTTTATAACTCCACAGGAAAGCACAGAGGAAGAGGAGGGCCAACACCCAAAACAACAGCAACACCATTTTCTTTTTCCTGTATGTGACAGGGACGCTTCTCTCATGTACAATAGAAGATGGTGTCCTGGATGTTCAAAATCAGAGAGAAAATTCAAATTGGAACAATCACATGTTGATGAACGTGAGCTCTTTAAGAGAATATGAGTAGACAGGTATTAAGACGATTATTCAGTTGCTTGTTGGAAAGACAAGGCATTTACATCACACACTGCTTCTTTAAGGTAATGCCAAAACCAATCAGAATCCAGCAAATCCAGATGGGAAGAAATGGAGCGGACACAAAGCTGGTGCAGGTCACTGGGTACTCTTCCGTCTGAGAGACAGAGTCTCACAGTAAATTTTTACATCTCATCATTTAGCAAAATTGGAGAGCAAAACAGGATCAACATCTCCTAGATCAGTGGTCCTCCACCTTCCTAACGCTGCAACCCTTTAATGCACTTCCTCACGCTGTGGTGACCCCAACCATAAAATTGTTTCCATTGCTACTTCATAACTGTAATTTTGCTACTGTTATGAATCATAATGTAAATATCTGTGTTTTCCAATGGTCTTAGGTGACCCCCGTGAAAGGGTCATCCACCCCAAAGGGGCCTCGAACCACAGCTTGAGTACCACTGTGCTAATGTGCTCAGGTCAGTCTTCTAGTTCCGCTGGACTCCCAGTTGTTTCCAGAATCCAGGAGAGGAGAGCATTAACGCAGCTGTCACTGAGAAAACATTCCCAACGCAGTTTCTATTTTTCTCTTAGTAAATGAGTTAGAGTCCCCCTTCCATCTGGCTCAGAGAGTATTGCTCCTCTATTCAGGAGAGACTGAAATGAGAGATCCCAGTAAGTTAAAGAGTGGGGTGGAAATGAATGCCTGGTATCTCGAATCTTTAAATTCTGTCTTCAACACTAACCTCTTGTAAGAAAAAGAAAGGCATGTGTAAACAGGATAAGATGAAGAAGTTTATACTGTAAAACTGACCAAACTACCTAGAAGAGAGCCAACTGGAATATTAATGTTGCTGTGACTAGCAGGGAGCTTAGTACTTGGTATCAAGCAGGAGAAGGACTTCCTGTACCCTTCCTGAGGGACCGGTGACTCTGTTTTCCCTCAGCATGCCATGCTTACCGCGGGCATCGGCATCTGTGGAGTGGTCCTCCACCCGGCAGGAGGAAGTCAGTAAGGGTCAGAGGGCAGGCTGCTGCTGCTCTCTGGCTGCCTCAGGTCTGAGGTCATGGAGGCCCTGCCCTTCCAGTTTCTGACGAGGGGAAACAGGAGAAGAGGCCAACTCCCTCTCCACGCAGGAACACTGTGTTAGCTCCTAAGTCAGTGTAGGGAAGAGAGCCAGGGAGAACATCAGCTTTGGAAAGAACCCTTTCCTTGCCGGTAGCCTAGAGGTCTAGAAAGTTCCCTGCTGTGTCTACAGAGTGTGTGTTTTGTTTTCTTCTTTTAGATTTACCTTTTTGATTTTTTTTTAAAGTGTGTGTGTGTGTTATGTACACTGGAGTGCAGGTACCTGCAGAGGTCAGAAGAGACAATGGGATCCCTTGAAGCTGGAGTTACAGGTGGTTGCCAGCAGCCTAATGCGGGTGCTGTAAACAGAGCTTGGGCCCTCTGCAAGAGCGCTGCATGCTCTTAACCGTTGAGCCATCCCCCAGCCCCAAACAGTGTCTCTGTCCTGGGTTCCTTCTCCCTCAGAATCACACAGGCCTGGAATACTTCACAGAAGAAAACCAACAGCCACAGACTGAAAGGCAGACCTGTGTGGATGCCTCCAGAATCATGCCTATTTCTGGATACTAAGAAATTTTTTCTTTTCTTTTTTTCTCTCTACCCACCCCCACCTCTTTAACGTAGTGGTTATTACATTTGAGTCAATGTTTTGTTAAATAAGTGCATCTATAAACAAATGCATAAATAAGATTTCAAATACATACACATATTTAACTACTACCACTGTATAAGCAATAGTACATTTAAGATAAAAAGTAATTCAATATATCCTCTTTACTTTTTAAGAGAAACGTGGGCCGTTTCCATCTCTTATTTTTTTTCCTGAAAGACTTACAAATAAAAAAAAGAAATAAAAAAAATCTACTGACATATTAAGCTAGTGAGAAATATTAAAATATGAGAAGCATGGGGATGTAGCTGACTCTTGGTACAGTTCTAGATATTTGAAAACAGGTTTCTAAATTAGTTAATAATTTGGTTTAGTTTCCCCAAACCTTGTTTGTGCAGGAATTGATTTGTTGCATACAAATGTCCATGCAGCCAGGTTTCTGCTCCTCAAATGCATAATAATCTAAAAAGTGTAATTATGAGGATAAGCAGAAAGCACTCACAAAAAGGACACATTTCGAGATTTTTAACGACATTTCATATGGTAAATCTAATTAGTTATAGGGTTTTGTTTAAGCCTGCCCTTGATAGCTGTTGAGTATTGAGATGTCTAATTTCATTGTAAATCAAATTTCCAGAGAAGTTATTTGAAGAAAGCCAAACATTTGTGGATTTTAATGTCCCCACGACAGAGGCTGTAACTGCCAGGGGGCAGAATCGAGAGAACTAAATAGTGAGATTGTCACCCACCTTGGCCAAGGCCTCTGCACTGGAGAGCTGCACGCTCTCATTTGGTTTTCTCTAGTCTTGTGGAGAGCGTATGATTTGTCTCACTTATAGAAGATAAACCAGATTCAAAGATCCAAGGTGATTTGCCAAGGCCATGGCAGCCTGGAGCCCTGGCCCGTCCCATGTGAGAAAGAGAATTGGAACTCTGAACTGCTGGGGCTGAGCAGTGTCCAAGCTGAGCTGATAGTCAACACAGGCACCTTGCCAGGGGTGCTATGAGGTCAGGCTAAAAGTCCTGGGACCAAAACAACCCCTGACACCTGAAGTAGTTGTTCCTTTCATCATCTCCCCTCATACCCTCCTCTGTTCACGGACAATGACTGGTGGGTTCCCAGGGGGACCAGGAGTCTTGGAGGCTGTGAAGGTGGATGCTGTTCCTATGATGATGTGAGTGACCAGACACAAGGGGCTTGAATTAGGATGGATGGAGGATCTGGACGTCAAGGAAAGCCCCTGGGGGTTCCTAGAGAACTTGGAGATAGTCCGTGCTTAGAATTCAAGGCAGGATCCACTCAGACAGGGAAGGGAATCCCTGTATTTTTTTTTCTAATTTGTTACTGAAACTTAACACATCTTTCAGTTGTGAAACCAGCAACACATTTCAGCAGTTTTTGTAGTACCTGAGATTTTGTCATCTATTACAGCCACAGTTTTTTGTTTGTTTGTTTTGTTTTTGTTTTCCAAGATGGGTTTCTCTGTTTAGCCCTGGCTGTTGAAACTAGCTTGATAGACCAGGCTGGCCTTGAATTCAGAGATCTGCCTGCCTCTGCCCCTCCCCCCACCCACCAGTGCTGGGATTAAAGACATGCACCACCACACCTGGCCTCGGGCACAGCATTGTTATGTTACTTATCATAAAATGTGGTGTATGTCCCCATTTTGTTGTTGTTGAGACAGGGTCCGTTACGGAGCCCTGGCTGCTGAAACTTGCTACATAGACCAGGCTGGCCTTGAACTCACAGAGATCTGCCTGCCTCTGCCTCTGGAATGAGGGGGATTAAAGACATGATTATTGTTCTTGCTTCCATAGTACTATTATGTGTTAATGAAATACGTTTTAAATATCTTTGGTGTATCTCAGCATAGCAGGCTTCCTTTAAAAGTCTATGTATTTTAATTCATGTATTGAAAAGTATTTATACTTACAGTCATGTAAATCAAAATTTTCTAGAGTATCTTCACCACAAATACATGTGTTTCAACAAGAACAAGTAAAATCACATGAAATCCATGCCTTCACTATAACTAGACAACAGACAATCCTCGAACTTCACATGAAATCCATGCTTTCACCATAACTAGACAACAGACAGTCTTCGAACTTCACATGAAATACATGCTTTCACCATAATTAGACAACAGACAGTCTTCGAACTTCACATGAAATCCATGCCTTCACCGTAACTAGACAACAGACAATCCTCGAACTTCACATTACTTGACTGAGGAAATGAGTAACTACATATGGCTGATAGATGTCAGATTTTACACCCTCAAAGAGAGGAGCTGCAAAGATGGAAAGGGAAGGGATGCTGGCATGGGCCCTGTGGAGTTGAATTAGAAAGAAGACCTAGCATCAACTGATGGTCTTGAATATGTGTACATAGCTATATAAATAAATGGACAACGATCTACCTAGATCTACCTGATAAAGCTTAAGGAATACCTAAGAACAATGAATGGACCAAGGCCCCGGAGCCCATTTTCTCAACATTATAATCTTTGGAGAAGCCAATATGAGGATTAAGTTAGTCTGGGGAAGTATAAATGATCCTGGAGTATCTTATGCTACAAAGAAAGAAAGGGCTCAAAGAATGTTGGGCACATATCAAAAACACTTTAAGAACCAATTGGAAGGATCTTTACCCGCTAACTATGACACAATTGAGCATCAATGTAAATAATGATCATAATGAATCCTAAGTCATTGACTATGATATGAACTTAGTCATTTTAGTGAGTATCAATAAGTAACTATATAAGGAAAAGGAAGTCATGCCAACTGATATGTGTCAAAGGAGGAATGCAGTTAGAAAATCAGTATTAGCTGCTGACACAGTAACAATTATTTCAGGCAAGAGTTATCAATGGATGTTAGAAGGACAGTACGGACTCTCAAGGGATGTCCCCCAAAGATAATTACTAAGTGAAAAGAGGACAATGGTGATTTCACAGTGAAGAAATCCAAGAGATCACTTGAACGAAGTGATATCAGTTGGTATTCTTAGTCAGGGAGCAAACCAATAAGCAGGACTCTCTGCACAAATCCCAACTAATCATGCACAGACAACCAACTTCCCGTTCTGCAGAGGGTGTGTCCTGTGCTCTTCAGAACACCAGTCATGAAGGAAAAAAGGACCAAGGATGCCAAGTTAATGAGATAGTAAAATGCAACACGTAATGGCAGGCTGGTAAACATTTTTCCCTTTCTCAGAAATAACATC